ACAAGTCCCGGGCATGAAGATCTATGTGGCATGCAAGGTGCTAGTGCACCATCAGCCACAATGTCCTCCAGTTTGGTGAGAAACATGAAGAGGGGGTGGGGTTCCCCCTCCTGCACGACATGTACAGGATCTTACTAATGCAAGTTCTTGAGTTTGTTCGACGATGTAGTCCAAGCTACCGAAGGAGATCACGGTGCCCGGAGCGAAGGTGTCACAATCATCAATCTCAAAGATGACCAACATTTGACAAGGATCTGTGCACAAAGTTCCCCCTATCTAGCATGTCAATTGTTGTAGATTTTATGCTCGACAATGTAGATTAGCATTTTATGCGCAGGGTAGCACACAAGAAACAAATTTATATCGGTTCAGGTATGGGGTACCCTACATCTAGTGTAGAATAGAGCTCTTATGTCGTATGCTCACATGATTTACAAGGGGCGTTGATGACTTTGTCTAGAAGTCTAGCTACGTCAGGTGTGATTGAGTTTCGGGTACCGATCAGGGGATCCCTACCTCGCCTTATATAGTTCAGGAGGTAGGGTTACATAGAGCCTCGATCAATTTACATGAAAGTTCCTTAGTTCGTTACAAGAAAATCTAATTGGATCCTATCAGATCAGTATGAATATCTTGGCTTCCAAGGCTTTGTAACCGATAGCTTGCTTTCCAAGTCAATGAAATACTCCATCTATATTGGGCCTCTCCTTCAATAGGCTCGTCCCACCTCATCCCAGTTGGGCTCTTTTCTAGGTGGCAAGGGTACCTGGGTTTTATATACCGACAATTGCTCTATTTTGGAATGAATTCAAAAGATTAGGGGTTTCTTTGATATGACTTTTGATCTAAGTGAAGTTCTCCTTCCTACCTAGGGACTCGCAACCTAGCTGCCCCATTTGGTAAAAATGAAATCAATGATGTTACTTTGAATTTGCCAAATGACAAGGCCCCTCGGATAGATGAGTTCAATGTTTTTTTGTGAAAAAGTCTTGGCATATTATCAGAGAGGACATTTATGCACTTTGTTTTGATTTTTATAATCACAAGGCTGATTTAAAAGAGTATCAACTCTTCTTTCATCATTCTGGTCCTTAGAAATAATCCTGAAAATATCAATGACTTTTGACCCATCTCTTTGTTGAATACCTCCATGAAGATCATTACAAAGTTTCTGGCTAATAGGCTCCAGAGAGTGATCTGGACATCGTTCATACAATATGGTTTAATGAAAGGAAAAACCATATAAGATTGCTTGGGTTGGGCTTTTTAATATTTGCATTGATGTCATCATTCTAGAAAGGAAATTATAGTCCTCAAGCTTGATTTTGAGAAAGCTTTTGACTTGATAGAGCACTCTGCTATCTTGAAGTTTCTTGAAGCTAAAGCTTCCTTGACAAGTGGATCTCTTGGGTAAAAAATATTTTGACCTTGTGTACATCCTTAGTTTTATTAAATGGTGTTTGAGGAAAAGATTCCACTTCTAAAAGAGGGGTTAGGCAAGGTACGTAACCTCCATGTCACCACTCCTATTTGTTTTGACTGTTGATCTCCTCTAGAGCATCATTAACAAGGCGTACCAACAAGGTGTTCTCTCCCCTCCTTTTCCATAAGACTAGATCTCTCCTTTCCCACAAAATGCAAATGATACTTTGATGATCGTTCAAGGACAGGTTAGACAACTATTTTGTCTAAAAGGACTCTTGTATACTTCTACTCAGTCTATATGGGGATCAAAGTCCATTATCAAAAGTCCTGGCTCATCCCAATCAATATCCCTCATGAGAAAGCAATCAACCTAGCTAGGGTGTTTGGTTGCACTATTGGATCTTTTCCTTTCACCTACCGTGGTCTGCCTTTGGTATCACCAAGCTCCAGGTTAAGGACTTTGCTCGCCTCATTTGCTTAGTTGAAAGACGATTATGTCTGCCAGTTCATGGTTCCTTTGTTACTTTGGGAGCCTTGTAGGTAGTCAACTTTGTCATCTCCTCACTCTGCACGTACTACAAGTGCTCTCTCAAGCTCTCGGTGACAGTAATTGATACTATTGACAAATACAAAAAACAATGTCTCTAGAGGGAAGTGACTCCAAGAAAAATGGTATAACTAGCTGGCTTGGAAGCAAGTAGTGAAGCCAAAAAAAACAAAGGTGGGCTAGCGGTCATTGATCTGACCCTACAAAATGATGCTCTTTTGATCAAGCAACTTGGCAAATTCTTCAACAAGAAAGATATTCAGTGGGTTAAGCTTATTTGGAAGCATTATCCCAATGGTGTTCCACATTTGAGAAGAGAAAAAGGTTCTTTCTAGTGGAAGGACATCCTTCATTTACACTGTCATTACAGAGGAATTCGTACACGTTCTTTTGTTAAAGGTGATACTATCAGCTTATGGGATGATTTGATCCTCAACAATATATTCTTGCAGAAAAACCCTAACCTATTTTCGTTTGCTGAAGAGCATGTGATCTCCCTTGAAAAGGTCTTGAACTCTTCTGATCTCATCGATCTCTTCCAAATTCCCATGAGAAGGGAGTCTTAAACGAACTACAATATTTATCTGAAGATTTGACTGACTTGGGGAGTACTGCTGGGAAGGACACTTGGATGTTCATCTGGGCCGTAATGTCTACGTAGCAAAGGATTACTATTGTCATCACTTTGATAGTATTGTTCCTCACCCTCCTTTGTTTTGGATTGGGAAGTCCAAGTGTATGCCAAAGGTCAAATTCTTCCCTTGGCTTCTACTGGTGGTTTGAACATTAGAAATATTCTCAGAAGGCATAAAAAGGATATGCACGGCGGAGCTAGAGAAAATTCGAGAGGGTGTGCTTGGCTTATGGGTGCATAAATTTTTATTGTGGGGTTGCGGATATGGTGAAAATTTTGCTATAATCACTGTTTTTTTCATTTTCTTGTGGGTGCGCCCGCACCCACACACATATACATGGCTCTGGCCTACAAGAAGGATATAATTGTGTTCTCTATCAAGACAACATGGGGGAGACTGTTAATCATCTCTTTTTTTATTTCTCTTCGGCCATCACTAGATGATTTGCAATTGGGATTCATGGCCTGACTCGGCAAATTTGTTTCACAAGATTATTGTTGGAAGGCAAGCTCATGCTTTTCCTTTTTTTCATGGAAATGTTCATGCTAGCTACCTGGTGTATCTGAAATGAAAAAAGGACTTCATCTTCAATAATAAGGTGCCTAACTTGAGCAATTGGAAGACCTCCTTCAGAAAAGAAGTTCTCATCTTTTTAGGATCAAAAAGCAGTTCCAAGGTCCTATTTTTCTGGCTTGATACCCTGTAATTTCTCCCTCCTTTATGTTTCTTCCTTTTTTTTTTTGACATTAAACAGGAGGGGCGCACCCCTATTGGTGATTTATTAAAAAGAAATTAATAGTGAGTACAAACAAGGGAGGGGGGAGTGAGGGAAGAGGGGATTAAGATACAAAGAAAGAAATGAAAAAAATGAGCCGCACTAAGTAGATTAAACAAGGATATTTAACCATAACTCAATCAAAGGGAAGTAGCTTCTTTTTGCGCACAGCAGAAGCAACGCAAATTCAGTCTTGAAGGTCCTTTTGGCATCTTGAATTGATGGTTGTTTATTGTTGAAGATGATCCCATTTCTTGTTTGCCATATTGACCAGCACATCAGGATGGTGATTTCAGTGAAGAAAGGGACCTGTAACTATCTTTTGAAGCTTTCCAGGTTCGGAAAGAGATCCACCTGTGGGTTGATTTGTAAGCCCAACCAGTTCCAGCAAGTGGAGGCAAAAGGGCAATCTATTAGCAAATGGAATAGTGACTCCTCTGCTGATGAGGTGCAAAGAACACAAGTATAATCCTCAAGTTCTATGTTTTTTCTTCTGAGAAGTTCGCTTGTGCTCAGCCTGTCAATCAAAATCAGCCAAGCAAATACTTTATGCTTGTTTTGACAGGAGCAGTTCCAAATCCAATTGTAGCTCTTGATTTGGAACTGCTTCTGTGTCCCAAATTCCATATACATGTCCAGTGGTCATTGTTGTCATTGAGAGTTAACTGTTGTAGGTCTTGCTGTAATTGAGTCAACTGATCAAAAGCTTGCTGTGATAGTGGTAAGTGGAAAAGGTTCATAATGTTTTTCCTTGATTTGACTTCCACTAGAATTGTTGTCTTTGATTTTACAAATGAAAAATGTTCTGAATAGGTGTGCATTGGGACCTTGTTCCATAAGTCTGTCCATAGGAAGCATGACTTAGCATTGTTGATGTTTATCATTGCTAACCCTTTGAATTTGTCCAATAATTTTAAGATATCTCTCCACCAAAAAGAGCCTTTCTTAGTTAGGGATGGTAAACTATCAGCCTCATAGTAACTCTCCCATACAAGTGAAATCCAGGGTAAGTCTTCTCTGTTGAAAAATTTCATCAAGTGCTTTAGGAGCAGTGCGTCATTTTGAGTTTTGAGATCTATCGCTCCAGTCCCCCTTCCTGCTTTGATTTATTCTCTCTATGTTTAGTCTAGAATGTCCGTTTTTTTTTTCTCTCTTATTTCTTCTCCTTTCTTTGCGTGTCTGGGAGTGTTTTGGGTTAGCTCCCTACTGACCGTTGGGTTTGTTTTGGTCTGTTTGTTTTTAATAATAGCACCGGGGGGGCTTTACCGTACTGTTTCAGTTCAAAAAAGTTAAAGAAGTTTGACTTAAAACAGAACTAAAGTAACCTAGATTTTGAAATGTAAGGGTACGTTCAGTGCATACCTTGTTAGTTATTACCCCAATAATTGCATGAAGACACGAAGACAACGATAGTTTATCATTGAGAGACAGTGATTGAAGTGTTATATATATACATACCTCTTCTTTAAAAAGAAAAACCAATATGTACTTTTCTCTCTCAAGGCAAAAAGAATCGTCAAGTTTATCAATCCTGTACAGTCCTACTGAAACCTATATACTAATAATTCGCACTAATATTTAACAGCTCGTACAATTTGGCATCTAGGAGTTCTGATCTTCAGGGCTTCAAGCTGCCATGAGAAGAAGGGAACCCCCCACTGTACTCAAAGGCCCTGCTATCTATATCAAACGTCGAGGTTGACGTGGATGCACTGGAGTATGGGAGCTTAGGTCCAACCTTCATCGTTCTTGATTCAATGCTGAATGAAGAGCTCGTAGACATTGAGCCCACTGTGAGCCCATTGTCCTGCATTATCGCCTCAATCTCCCTGACAATGCTGTTCATCGAGGGCCGGCCTGTTGCCACCTCATCAACGCATTGCAGTGCTAGTTTTAGGAACCGTGGGAAGCCGGGGAGGCCCCCCATTTTCTGAAGAACCGGGTCCATCACATCCTTGAGCCCACAGTGCGTGCCATCCTCCTTGTCTAGTGCCATTTTCACCTCACGGACAATGTACTTGTTGTTGTGTATTGGTGGCTTACCCACTATGAGTTCTAGGAGCACTACACCGAAGCTGTAGACATCGCTCTTTGCTGTGAGTTGCTGGGTCATGTAGTATTCCGGGTCCAGGTAGCCCTGCGTAGATTCAAATAATTTGGATGTGTTGATTAGTGAGTGTATTGCCAAGTTAGGATGAAGCAGCACGACATAGCATGCATGCCATAACAAACATTTTGTCTCATACAGTGATACAAAGTGAAAGCTCACCAGTGTTCCCTTTACGTTTGTGCATAGTTGCCCTTCCTCACTGTCTGTTACCAGCAACGACAGACCAAAGTCTGAAACCTTTGCAGTCATCTTCTCATCAAGGAGAATGTTAGTGGACTTCACATCTCTGTGAATGATTGGAGGATTGGCATGGTCATGGAGGTATGCTAGCCCTCTAGCTGAATCCAGAGCTATCTTGAGCCTCCTGCTCCAGTCTAATTGTATTCCTTTCATACCTAGTGTGGATTCACAGAAATTGTAGCCCAAAATCAAGAGATTTTACAGTTAATCAACAAGATACACAATAATAACAAAATGTAACCAATAAAATGAGATGAAAAACTTACCATATAAGGCGTCGCTTAGTGTTCCATTATGTATGAACTCGTAAACTAACATCTTTTCGCCCTTCTCAAAGCAGAAGCCAACCAGTCCAACCAGGTTCTTGTGATGAACCCTGGAAAGGAGTTCTATTTCTGTCTTGAACTCAAGGCCACCCTGCATGGACCCTTCCTTGGATCTCTTGATTGCCACTAACTGCCCATCTGGAAGTTTTCCTCTGTAAACCTGTTACATTGGAATCAGAAAAACTGTAAATCTGTATGAACAAAAGAATAAATACGATGCTTTCAGTACTCAAATGCATTGTTTGCTTACCGTTCCGTAGCCTCCAGCTCCAATTGCATTAATTTCTCGGAAGTCATTGGTGCATAACTTGAGTTCTTCCAATGTGAAGAATTTAGCACTCTGCAGTTTTGGTGCTTCACCAATATCTTCTCCCATTGATCCCCAAGACGCTGAAAATTTAGTAAAGACATCAAAAACAAGAGCAACATTAGATGAAGGCATAAAGTATTGACTGTAATTCTCAAGTAGAGTGCATCACCAAAAGGATCGTTGATGGACACAAGCCTCTGAGCCTGTTTCTTTTGACGTACAGCATAAAATGCTACCAGAGTGAGCCCCACAACCAGGAGAACAGATCCAGTCACAATGCCAATCAACACAGCTCGAGAAGCTGCACACCATCAGTCACATTTTAGAATTGCAACTATGGTAGTATCAGAAACAACAAAGAAGAAATGAGCTGTTACTTTTGTCGTGGAATGGGTAATGATGTGCATTCACATAGTAAGGCCCGAACATTTCCGGTGGCTTGTAAGTCTGAAAGGTAAGGTTGAAGCAGTTTAACACTTGAGAGTAGTTGAACCTTTTCTGGTTTACTGGGCATGCCTTGATATCCACATTTAGGTATGCATCTTCGTTGGAGTAAGGTATCAAGCCTAGCCGGTTCGGGGTACAGCTGCTCAATTGCCCAGAGAGGTTCTTCTCCAGATCAGGAAGGTACTCGAGTACATTGGCAAAGGAAGGAGCTCTGAATACGATAGTTTCTACAAAAGGATATGCACATTGAACATCAAAGGGAGGAGACTGAGGTGGGGCTTCAGTGCGAAGGCCCATGCATGGATTTGTGTCTGACAGAAGAGAATCATTGCAGAGTGGGTTTCCTTCAAGCCTTTGAGAAAATTAAAGAATTTGGTGAGAAAGGAATGTACATGCTGTCAGAAAACTAAGTATGAAATTAGCAGTGATACGCACTTGAGGTTTTTGTTGAAGCTGCTGTACACTGTAACTGAGGTGATTTTGTTGTTTTGAACATCGACAACATCGAGATGCGTGCTTATATTGTTTCCCATGTCAAGCGTGCCATTCAGCTCATTATCACTCAGTACTCTGCAGCATTCTCGACAAGTTAGTGTATTTTGTTAAATACACAAGACAGAGAGATCTAGTAATTTTAACATGTCTTACAGATGCTGCAGTTGAGGAAAACTGAAAAGCTTCTGTGGCAGTTGCCCAAAAAGCCCAACTGACTGCATTGTACTGAAGAAAAAGGAGACTTTGGTCATGTTTTGCTCCAAAAACTGCCACTTTACTCATTAATTTCAGATGAGATTTGTGACTTACAGGGTCATTATGCTCTCCAAATCTGAGAACCAGCTTGGGATGTTAGAAGGATCAAAGCTGTTATTACTGATATCCCTGTGGAAAATGATGAAGCATGTCAATCGCAGTAAGAGAGTAAATTTCTAGCAAAATGTGGCTGGAGATTGAAGGAAATTCTTACACATTTTCCAGCTGGCCCATACTGGTCAAATTAGGAATCGGTCCACTTAGGTTGTTATTTGAAAGCATTCTGTTATTTCCACACAAAAAAAAAGTTACAGGTGACACAACACAGAGGTTATCCTAATAAAGTAAAATGTTGTAATTGGACAACTTACAAAACTTGGAGCTTAGTCAGGTTGTTGAGAGCAGGAACTGGTCCCATGAAACCATTGTCATTTAGACGACTGTATTCAGAGAGCACAACAATATTAGCAGCTTCCTGAACTAATACTAACTGCCAGCAAACCATAGAGTAACTTTTATGAACACTTACAGTACTTCAAGTGATGGAATTACACCAATAGATGCTGGAATCTGTCCAGTAAATCTGTTTCTGTCAAAAAGGCTGGACAAAAGAAATCATGGTTAGAAAATTCCTAGTAAATGACAATGCAAAGGTTAAATCTTTGATCTGAGTCACTGACATATGCTTGAGCTTCTTCATGTTGGAGTTGAAGAGAGAGTCTGGGATTGAACCTTCCAGCATGTTTTGATTGAAATGGCTAGAACGAGCAGAAGAAACAGATTTATGAGTCATATAAAGAACAAGTGAGAAAACTAATGTCATTTTATGACACTACTAACAAGTGTTCTGCCGTAAGAAGCTGGTCCAATCCAGTTCCATTATCTCTGGAGGTTGGGAGAGGTCCGGTCAACTGGTTACCAGCAAGGTCCAGCCAGGTAACACTGGAGAGCTTGCCTAATGAGGGTGGGATGCTACCCGTTAGTTTGTTTGAGTTCAGAGCACTGAGCAAAAGCAACAAAAATAGGGAAACAATTAATATCCTATTGATATATTTCACTATCTTGGCAACTGTTAATAGGAAGAACAATAGTCTTACAAGAATTTGAGTTGTGACAAGTTTCCTAGTTCGCTCGGAACAGGACCAATGAAACTGCAACCAATCAATGCTCTACAAAATGAATGGATAAAGGTGAAGACGGTAATCAGCAAGGTGTAGGAGAGAATAAGCATTGGTCCCTCTGTTCATAACAGAAACTGTTGCAACTTACAAATATTCAAGCTTAACTAACTTCCCAATGGCAGCTGGCAGTGGCCCACCAAGATCTCTGTTTGAGGACAGATCTCTGGAAAGCATTGCTCAGAAAGTCAGTGATTCGGTGTCCTAATGTAAATCGTGAAACATAGAAGCATCTTCAGCATCTTTGAGAAGACAAAGTTACATGATGGCAATACTCACAAGATCCTTAGCTCAGTCAGACTTCCTATATCATCGCTCAGAGTGCCACTCATGCTCATACCAAACAGATTCCTGATGTCAAAAAGTGTTAGCAAGAACAAATTTCAGGATCTTGAGCAGACACTGACATCGGCAGGATCAGCTCTACTCACAGTGATGTGACCCTTCCATTTTCATCACACAAAATACCATCCCATTTCATGCCGCAAGGACTGTTGGACTTTCCCCAGCTAGCAGGCACGTTTTTCCATCTCTTCATCAAGGATCTGAGAGCAGCCTCTGCAAGAGAGAGAAGGGTGATAACAACTTGTCAATGAAGTTTTGGACATTCGATTTAATGATCTCATTAATATATTTCAATAATAAGAATTAAAAAAAGATTGAACCATCAAAACGTTTTATCTTCTATCATCCAGAAACTGGAAGAATCACATCAAACAAGGGTGAGCATATGTACTGATGCAGAGTTTCATAATACAAAGAACACAAAACAATTAAGAGGAGAAATTATTAACTGACTGCATAAATAACACCAAGAACATTTTCAGAAAAGGAGCAGGGAAGAAACCAATTTTGCATTGTTTTGTTGCCATTTCCACAAGCGTCTCATCCAAACAAATTACAAAATACACCCAAATAGTTTAATCAGCAAAACGGAGGTATTTATGATTTCCATTACTTAGTTCAACTGGAAACTAATAAAGTCGCACAACCAAAACTCAACTCCGAATCCGACGAAGTACGAACTATAGACAACCAAAAAGCTGTTATTTAGAGAAAGCTTTTGCTACCAATAAACAGTAGTTGGACATATAATTACATAAAAGAACAGGCAAAAGCCCATCAAAGTATCGCTAATCTTTGGTTCGCACACCCAAAATTCAATGAATTACACAAAAACAAACAAAAAAGAACTTACCATCTTGCTGGTTGGTGTTGGCGGAGGCGGCTGTTGATCCGGCAGCGCACAGAAGCAGCAGCAACAAGAGCTGCGCCTTGCACATCTCCTCCCTCCCCGGGCCAGAACTGCAGGAGAGAGCCCTTATCCTGCTCCGCTCCGATCTTTGGATGCGTTCTCCTCCCCAAACCTCTCGACCTCGCAAAAGAAAAAGAAAAAAAGGCTCTGCAGCAACCAGGAAGAAGTCTCCGAGGTGGGAGGAGGAAGAAGCTGAGAAGCGAAGCACGCCGCCGATGCAGAAGCGGTCGTGCCTGAAATAGAAAGCCTGTTCGCTGGTGGGTTCTGGACGCTGATAAGTCGTGCTGGCGCCAGTTCGTTGCGAGAAAAAAATACTCACCTAACCAACAAACGAATAGGCTAAGCGAATACGCCCAGAGTATTTTTCTTTCTGAACTTTTTTGCTTTACTCGGTCCAAGTGACTGACATTTATTTTTATATTTATAATATTCAGTAGGGGACCTCTGTTCCTTTCAAAGAAAACGACTGACATTTTCAAAAGCGTGCCGTTTATAGAGTCAGTCTTGATTGATTTTAACATATATTTATATAATGGTACAAGTTTATAAAGCCTGACATCATGGATGCTAGGACGACAAAACAAAAAAAAAATAGAGGGAGTACAGATATTTAATATGGGCCTGTTCGCTTGGCGAAATTCTGGAGGAATTTGGATGGTTTGGGGAATACTGAAGGAATTTGTGAAAGAAAAACACGGCTCCGGATGAAAAAAAAAAGCGAAACAAGTCAGGTTTAAAGGCACGCGAACGGAGCCTATGGCTGCGTTCGCTGGTCTGGAAAAACCAGACCAGCCGGCTACTCCTCCTCATAGATGCACTGTTCATCAACCAGCTGTTATAGTATTTCTCTCACAAAACCAGTCAGTTTTAATCAAATTTCACACCAGCCAACGAGGCCTATATCGATACCTGGCCAGGAAAAGCTGTCCTTAAAGAACCATCATTACTCCAAGCGTATGGGTCAATATACATCTCACCAGGACTTGCAGCTTCGAAAATTCCATGGAGCTTTCTGTCACTATAATTGAATAGAAATAAAGGCATGCCAAGTTTGACATTTCTAACATATGAATAGTGGACTGAAGGCAGACGTATAAAATAACTAAACAAGTCAATAAGGAATCATAATCTTATCAAGATAGAAACTTCCACAAAAAGTTAAATTAATTGAGTCAATATTTAGAAACAAGGCATTTTATTTTCCATCAGCATACAAAAATCTATAATCACCATGTTCGTTGATACTAAAATTTGGCTTATGCTGATGCTTATGTTGAAATGTTGTGAGATGAAAACATTATTCCATGAGCTGAAAAGTAGTTCTAAATAAGCTCAAGCAAACATGGCCTGTTGGCTTGGCTTTAAAGTTGTTGAGTTTGACAAATTTAAAACTCGTTTGATCTATTCCTAACCATAACTTATTATGCCGTAGGTTAGTCATGTTATATTTTTTTAACAAATTGTTTAGTTCATTGTTACAAACCATAATATGCTACACTTTTATATCACCGTATTATATGCGTAACAGATCATGTTAAACTTTTTATGGCTTCGACTTTCTCTTCACACTGTCTATATATGGCAATAATAATTTGCTGAAGGTGATGTGGCAAATTATGACGCTAACTAAACAGTTCCTAGTCCTACTGCCGCAAAGCAAAAGCTCACAAGGTGCTAATAGAACACCAGTGTGTTTTCTCTCTCAAAGGAATATCAGTGCTTTATTTCATTTTCAGAACAAAATAGCAGAGCAGTCGTTGACCATTATTATTAGGAAATTAGATAAGATTGCTCCTAAACGCGTGATGAAAGGCTCCCTCCTCTGCATGTCCACGCGGCAGTAACCATCGACGACGCGAAAGCCACCGTTCACCCGAACATCACTGTTCACGCCACTTGGTTTTATTGCTTCAAATACGGTTCATCACTGTTTTACTGTTCTAAAGCCCTTTTGCTGCTGGCGTCACTGCTCACGTACCTTCCTCCCTGTGCGCGCGTGGCGAAGCGCGCGTTCTCAGCTAGAGGAGTTTTGGAAGTCAAAAAAAAAAAAAGCTAGAAGAGTTTTGGTGTTTAGAGTATGGATTAACTACCGTAGATTAATATAATTGGCTACAGGAGAGTAATAAGACTGTCTCCGATGGTTTCCTGTATGGGCGTTTACATGGGTCTGGAATGGTATTATATCAGCCTTTAGAGTATTCATATGTGAGATCTATTTTTGTTACAGCAAAGACATAACCTAAATATGAATATCCTCTTTCCTGAAAACTTATTTATAGATGAATATCCTCTTTCTTGAAAACTTATTTACAGAAAGAATTCTCTTTTGAGTCATGTTATGGAAGAAAATCAAAAATAAATACGAAACCCTTTACCTTTAGTGTTACCCAAATATAAAATATGTCTTATATTTTGAATAATGTTATTGGAGATAGCCTAAGTACGTGCTGGGACATAATTGGATGCACAGTTAAAAAAAAATGAAGAACTAAAATCTTAGCACCACGCTCGAGAGTCAACAGTCAATAGTCTAGAATGCTGGGTGTTATCCAACGACATCACCATCCTCTCCTGCCGTCCCCGCCATGGCCACCGTCCGTTCCACCCTCTCCCCCAGTCTCCCACCGCCATCTCCATCTTCACCTCCCGCCCACATCCCCGCGGCCACCACTCCCCGCCACCGCAAGCATCTCACCACGACCGCAAGGCCGGGCACGCGGGGCTCCAGCCCTCCGAAGCGGCGGCGCTCCTCACGGCCGCGGCGCGCGCCCGCGACCTCCGCCTGGGCCGCGCGCTCCACGCCCGCCTCCTCCGCACCGGTTCACTCCTCGAGGCCGACGCCGTCGTCGCCAACTCGCTCCTCACGCTCTACTCCAAGTGCGGCGCCGTGGCCGCCGCGCGCAGCGTGTTCGATGGAATGCCCGTCGGCCTGCGGGACCTCGTCTCCTGGACGGCCATGGCGTCCTGCCTCTCGCGAAACGGCGCGGAGGCGGAGGGGCTCCGCCTGTTCGGCGAGACGCTCGAGGAGGGTCTCCTGCCGAACGCGTTCACGCTGTGCGCCGCGGTCCAGGCCTGCTTCGTCAGCGAGCTCTTCCACTCGGCTGGTAGCGCGGTTCTTGGTTTGGTGTTCAAGTTGGGTTTCTGGGGCACCGACGTCTCGGTGGGTTGCGCTCTGATTGACATGTTTGCGAAGAATGGGGATCTGGTGGTGGCGCGCAGGGTGTTTGATGGATTGTTCGAGAGGACGGTTGTCGTCTGGACATTGCTGATTACACGGTATGCGCAAAGTGGCTATTCGGATGAGGCTTTAGAATTGTTTCTTGACATGCTGGAGAATGGATTTCAGCCGGATCAGTACACCATGAGCAGTATGTTATCGGCTTGTACAGAGTTGGGATCATTCAGGTTGGGGCAGCAACTGCACTCTCTAGCGCTCAGGCTTGGACTAGAATCAGACAGTTGCGTGAGCTGTGGGCTTGTGGACATGTATGCAAAGTCTCACAATGGACAGTCCTTGCACAATGCGAGGAAAGTCTTCAATCGGGTGCCAAAGCATAATGTGATGTCATGGACAGCACTTTTGTCAGGGTATGTGCAGCGTGGATCGCAGGACAACCAGGTGATGATACTGTTTTGCAAGATGTTAAATGAAGGCATCAGACCAAACCATATCACATATTCTAGTATGCTTAAAGCGTGTGCTAACCTTGGTGATCAAGATTCAGGCAGGCAAATTCATACCCATTGCGTCAAATCCAGCCTAGCTGACTTAAACATTGTTGGGAATGCTCTAGTAAGCATGTATGCTGAATCTGGTTCCATGGAGGAAGCTAGACATGCATTCGACCAGCTGTATGAAAAGAACATGGTATCCTTCAGCTGCAATTTGGACGGAGATGGGAGGAGCAACACTTATCAAGATTATCAGATTGAAAGAATGGAGTTAGGAATCAACACTTTCACATTTGCTAGTCTGATCAGTGCCGCCGCTAGTGTAGGGTTGCTAACCAGAGGCCAACAGCTCCATGCCCTCTCACTGAAGGCTGGATTTGGGTCAGATACATCCATAGGCAACTCTCTTGTGTCTATGTATTCTAGATGTGGATACCTAGTAGATGCCTGCCAAGCCTTTGATGAAATGAATGACCATAATGTGATCTCATGGACTTCAATGATTAGTGGTTTGGCAAAACATGGGTATGCAGTGAGAGCTCTGGAATTGTTTCATGAGATGATCGCAGCTGGGGTGAAACCAAATGATGTCACATACATTGCTGTTTTATCTGCATGTAGTCATGCCGGTCTAGTTAAAGAAGGGAAGGAGCACTTTAGAATGATGCAGAAGGATCATGGACTCATACCAAGGATGGAGCATTATGCTTGCATGGTTGATCTGCTTGGGCGATCAGGCCTTGTTGTAGAAGCACTAGATTTCATCAACGAAATGCCTTGTCAAGCAGACGCGTTGGTCTGGAAGACACTCCTTGGTGCCTGTAAGACCCACAACAACATGGATATCGGTGAGATTGCTGCTAACCACGTCACACAGCTCGAACCACAAGATCCAGCCCCCTATGTCTTGCTCTCTAACTTGTATGCAGATGCTGGTTTGTGGGATCAAGTAGCTAGGATAAGGAGTCTAATGAGGGATAAAAACTTGATGAAAGAAAAAGGGTTGAGCTGGATGCATGTTGAGAACGCCATTCACGAGTTTCGAGCTGGTGATACCAGCCATCCACAAGCAGAGGAGATCTATACGAAGTTGGAGACACTGATAAGAGAAATCAAAGTCATGGGCTATGTACCAGACACCAGCATAGTGCTCCATGACATGTCGGATGAGCTTAAGGAGCTGTGTCTGCTTCAGCACAGCGAGAAGATTGCTGTTGCATTCGGTTTGATCAGTTGTACATCAGCAACAAAGCCAATAAGGATATTTAAGAACCTCCGTGTATGCGCTGATTGTCATTCAGCACTCAAGTATGTCTCTAAGGCCACTGGTAGGGAGATAATATTGAGAGATAGCAACAGATTCCACAGGATGAAGGATGGGGAATGCTCATGCAGAGAATACTGGTAATAAGCAAGCTGGCTCACGTAGTCACGTTTAGCTGAAGAGCCATGTACAGAGTTCTGGCGCACCATAGCATTATTGACAGTGAGTGGCCATGTTCATAATTTTTGTAGCACCTTCACAAAATCATAGTTTATACAAAGCATGAGTTGTTGTGATAGTTCATACTACGTTTATAGAATTTGTACAGTTATATGCACACTCCTATCACCATAAATACAAATTGTTTCGAGTGGTCAAACTTTTTTGGCTTTACCATCAGTTTGGTAGACTGGCATCGCAAGATGAAAGCAGAATTTTCAGAACCTAATTGCCAACTGCAGGTGATGAAAACAACTTTCATGTAATTTTCATTGCAAATCAAGATAAACATGTCCAAAATAGGCAAGATAAACTATCATATCTGCATGCTATTTAATATCATTTTATGGATGAATCAACATATAACTGCTTGCATATGTGAGTTTAAGCATACAGTACAGCAATAAAAGATTGTAAATCATTACACGATTATAAGCCATAACAAGCTTGTTGCCTCAGGTAATTCTTTCATTGAACTTTGATTAAAAAAAGGCACAGAATGGGTGTCGTAAGGATATACACCCATGAAAATGTTTACATGGACAATGCTAGACCACAATGAAATTCCCTTAGTTACAAAGCGCCCAAAGGCCAAAGGGTGTAAAGGTTTCACGTGATCAAAAGGAAACTCCAGAAAAAGATATTAATATTACAGATCAGAGAGCTGGATTCATGATCAACTGATGGGAGCTCAATGCTAATCGCAAAATTAATTGATTGACCATCTGTTTTGGCATATTTGCAGCAGGACAGACCGAGACCCACCTTTTCTAACCATATGATTGACCGTTTGTTTGAGCTTAACTCTAGTTGTACTCCCTTTGTTCCAAATTATAGCTCACTTTGTTTTGGTAAGTCAAACTTCTTTATGTTTGACCAAGTTTAAAGAAAAATGTACCAACATCTAGAACATCAAATTGGTTTCTTTAGATTCTTCATGAAATACATTTTGATAGAGCATTATTTGAATGCATATATGTTAATATATTTTCAAAACATTAGGTCAAAGCTAGAAAAGTTTGACTTAGGACAAAACCAAAGTGAACTATAATTTGGAACTGAGTAACATGTTTGATGTTTCATTTTCAAAAGTTTGTCATATTAAGAATAACTCAAGGAAGATTGTGATATGCTGGCAGCAAATGCATAAGAAATTAAGATCTAAAATTATCATTTGGGCCTTCGCAGTTCTGGTGGAAGCCACACACCAAGCATTGACGAATTTGGTTTAGCAAGGCCTTGCAGCTCCATAAATTCCTCCTTGCTGTATTTTATCCTTTCATCTGTTCAAACGAAAGGCAAACCGGTTATCAATATATTGTAAAATGCAAAGCTCCAACTGGGACTGTATTTCTAACAGGAAGTGAAGGGACACGACAGAATATCTAGCATCCTCACCTACAAAACAGATATCGTGTAGCCTACTTGGGCCAGCAAAACTGTTTCCAACTTCTGCTTTCACATGTGGAGATCGTCTACGTCTAGGTTTACGAAGTTGGGAACCACCAACAAAATTTGCCTGAACTTCCTGCATGAGCTCATGCCTCAATTCAATCGTAGGATGACGCTTACAGAATGTTGAAATAGCATCGCCTGTTAAGATCCAACAGCCACTTAAATCCAACACACAGAGTCCGGCAGGGGGTACAAATTGTAAAAGCCCCGAGGTCGACAATATATTCCCGCAGAACCCAAGGTGGATCAAATTGGAGGCAGCAGAGAGCGCATGCAAGGCAGGATCAGACAAGAAATCACTTTTCAGGTACAAATATTTCAGTGCTGCAAAGGATGCCAAGGGAGGTATAACTTCAGCTGATAGCGGTGTATCCTCCAGATTTAGACTTTCCAGATATTTGAGATGCTCAAATGCAGACATAGACAACAACTTCTCCGAATTTACTTCAGTGTGAACAAAACCTGCCATAAGATAAAATTTATTTTTCTGTGGCAGAAAGTAAATTGATGTAATCAAGGAAACAAAATATTTATTAGGCAAGAGCACAACCTTTGATACTTGTCTGGCTTAAATCTATCGTTCTCAGCAAAGGTATCATGCCAATATATGCTAGAGCAGAGTCATCAATTTTTGTATTAGCTAAAGACAGTGAGGTGAGGTTTGGAACTGTCCCTGCCAGAATACATAGTGCCTGTGAAGTTATTCCAGTATTCTTGAGGCTCAAATATTGCAAGTTTGTTCCAAGATTCGCAATATGTTCAATTGCACCATCAGTTATTACGTTGTAGCTAAGGTCCAGATGCTCTAGATTTTTCATCTTTTCCAAGAAAGACAAGTTACTTAACTTGCAGCTAGACAAGTCCAAATGTGTCAGTGAGCTTGCTTGGATGCTAGAAAATACTTTATCAATATTGCTAAATGTAGCTGCAGAGACAATAAAGTTTTCTAGAGGAACAGGAACTTCAGAATCCTCATCACAAATAGAATGAATTTCGCAGTTGCTCATATTTAGACAGCGTGTGGTTGGCGGAATTGATAAATGGTTGATACGTGTCAACGCAAGATTCAAGAATATCAGCCTTGCAAAGGACTTCAGAGCAGAAGCTCCCTCATTTGTAGTTTCACTACCCCATATATCAAGATGCTCAAGTCTTGTCAATACCTAGAACAATAATACAACTATAAGAAATCAATAGTCTGGTACATGCAACCAAAAAGAAATCAGTTGGCACATATTAGTAGATTGAATGTATGGTTGGCAATTCCAACACAGGCACCTAGATAGCAAAAGAAAATGGTGGCACAACATAAGACTTCATACCTGTAAAGACTGTAGGCTTTTGTCTGTCATGAGAATTCCACCCAGATCAAGGAAACTTAGATTTGTCAGTGAAGAAATGAGCATCACTCCATTGTCAGTCAATTCAGTCTCAGATAAGTGCAGCTTCTCCAAGCTTTCAATGGTCACTATATGTTTGATGCCAGCATCAGAGATCTTTTTGCACCTTGACAAGTCCAGCTCCTTTAATGTGTTCATTCCTAAAGTAACATGGAAATTATATTGCAAATCATATAACTCAAAAGCAGGGGTGAAGCAAGGCTATTTTGATGTCGTCACTTGACAGCAATGGATTTTAAAAATCCAAGGCTAAAGTGTTGATCTAAGAGAAACATGACCAACAATCGTTCTTTTGAACACTAGTGCATAACATCGATGGTTCTCTATTCTGGATCCACCCATGCCCAGTGTAATCATATGATCAAAGAAGTTTCAGATCTCACCAGAGAGCGACCAGACAGCGTCATTGTCGACGTTCTTGCAGTCCGCCAACTTCAGAACCCTCAGGTACCGGAAGGAGCCAAGGTACGCCAACCACTCGGCGTCCACGGACAGAAATCCACTCAGGTCAACCTCCTCCACCGGCCGGCCAAACACCCTACACACGATGGGAGACATGATTCAGCCACGAACCAACATGAGGAACAATAGCAAACCCCATAAGAAGGTACAGGACATTTTTTTAAAACAGGTATATATTATTCATATAAATGAGTAAGAAGGTTGTTCAACAGGGAATGCTACATTAGTACAGCGCAATTTGCCATACAAGGTCACGGCCACATCACACAGACGCTAATCCACATTGCCTGGTATATCCGTTGAGCTGCATGGTGCTACAAGATGCAATTTGGGTTGGGGAGTCCAGGCGACAGAAGCTTAGTTGGTAGGGCTGGAGCCATAAACAACAGTGGAAAGAATCGCACTCCCCTCGAATTAGGGAGTGTGGAGGAGAAGCAGCCTTCAACTGGTGGTGGTTATACCCTCTGTACATACCGGAAGGGTCGGCGTTCTAGACAATCCATGGGTGCTCAAGAACCTTGTGGAGGTGAAGCCGGTGCGCTGAGTTCTTTAAGGGCATCTGAGAAATCAAGTCCTCTGTGGCAGGTGAAACGAAAGGTTTCAATTACTATCCTTCTGTATGTTTCTGAGTGCTCCTTAGCTTCAAAAGGTGGGACCACATAAAGGAATTCATAACACAGAACCCAGGTTCCATATGTCAACATGGTGATCATGTACTCACATAGTCCGTCTTCTGTTGAAGGTGCACACGGACCAGCCAAAGTCGGCAATTTTGAGTTGACCTAAGGCTCCAACCAAAGATTTTTTGGTTTGATGTCCTGATGGATAACAAGCTTCTCATGAAGGTAGATCGGAGCTCTAGCCAATGATGCAATATAAGTTGCTGAACGCCTCTCCCAGAAATGCTTGCATCTTGTCAACTCCTTGTATAGTTCACCCTTGGCAGCATATTCCAGGATTAGGTAAACCCGGGTCTGGTCATAGAAGTACGAGGCTTTTACATGTATGCCATTAAGAAAGTTTGTAATTACACAGAAGCCATTAAAAAAGGTGACCGCACACAGGTGCCACTGCTCTAAACTTCTTTGCCTTACACGCCATTCCGTCCTTGTTTTGTTTGTTTTTCGCCATTTAGTAGCCCTTACAGGTGGGACCGGCCAGTGAAATTGTCCATGTTGCCCTTGAACGGTGGAGATCGTGTTGACTACGATTCACCGCCACGTTAGTTTTCTTGTCTCTCGGTCTCTTCTGCTCATCCTCCTTTGGCCGTGGCATAAAGACGAGGGGCGTTACGGCGCCGCGCCTCCGCCTGCTGGGCCCGGCGGCCGTGCCCCGGGAGGAGAGCGCAGAGGAGGCCCTGACGGCGAGGACGGCGAGCGCGACGAGCTCCCCACGGCAAAACCCGCAGCGGCGCTTGGCGGTGGGGAACACGAAGTAGATCCGCCCTGCTCGGAGTGCCTCCGCGTCGCGCACAGCCGGGACCTCGGGCAGCCCAGCAATGGCGGGCGGAGGACGCAGATCGGGCCCGCCGCTGGTGTGGCAACAGGAGGCGCCACGGGCACAAGAAATGCAAGCAATAGCGCGCGCTGTGGGTCGTGGGACGAGAAAAGTCGCAGATCGCAACGGGCGCGCACCACCGGCTCCACCATCCGCGCCCCTCATTGCTTGGATGGGGCGTGCAGTGTTCGGCGGCCACAACGGCGGCGTGTCGGCGGTCGGTCTGAAGAAGGAGCATCTGCTCGAGCACGTCATGAAGCGCTGCTGCCGCGGACATCGGCCGCGACGACCGGCTTCAAGCGCGCCGCCCGCTGCTCGTCGGTGGCTTTGTCAAGGCGACCCCGGCGGCCTGGCCCCACGCTTCCGGCCCCGGCACCGCCCTGCACCCTCGGCGGCGGCGGCCGTGGACGACGCGAGGAGGGCGAGGTGGTGGCCGTCGCCGCCGCCGCGGAGGAGCAGGAGCAGGAGCAGGAAGGCGAGCGGGAGCGTGAGGACGAGCAGCAGGTGGTCGGGGCCGCAGTGGTGCGGCGAGGCCTTGGGGTGCGCTTGGGCCTTCTTGTCGTCGGGCTCCGGGTCCTCGACAACCACGGCCTGGAAACGAGGAGCAATTGGCACTGTATGGCGGCCTTGAGGCGAGACGGCGTCCGCGTCGGCTGCTGCCCCGCCCCCGCCCCGCCCGCCTTGCGCCCGTGGCCATCCATCCATCCATCGCCGCCGCTCCCCGGCCCCGACGCCTCCGTCCCTCTCCTCAATCTCTGGCGGATCTCCCCTGGAGCAGACGCGCCGTGCAAGCGGGGCAGGCAGGCAGAGGATGGACGGCCACCGCCCAAGGGCAACACGGACAATTTCACTGACCGGTCCCACCTGTAAGGGCTACCAAATGGCGAAAAACAAACAGAACAAGGACGGAATGGCGTGTAAGGCAAAGAAGTTTAGAGCAGTGACACCTGTGTGCGGTCACCTTTTTTAATAGTTTCTGTGTAATTACAAACTTTCTTAATGGCATTCATGTAAAAGCCTCGTAGAAGTACCCATACAGGCGAAGAACTTTGGGAGCAGATGTTTGACCTGAGATTGTTTGAGCTGGCTCTTGAAAAGAACTTTCAAAGCCACAATCTAACTATTACTCTTTTCTCTGGCCAGATAAACATGGCTAAAATTGGCCCCCCCATGAGGTTTCCCAACCTCGAAATCACACAGTACCCACCGCTTCTCGTTAGCACGGGAAGCCTTGTCCTCGCTGCCGCGCGACTCTGGCGATCGCCATGGCTGGAAGAGCGGCGCGGAGGGGAAGGAGGCATGGGTAGAGATGGGGGACCGGGAGCGGCGAGGCGAGGCGAAAAATGGCAAAAAGCCATAAACTCCCCTATCCGGGCGTCGAGCATCTTGACTAGGCAGCGCGAGGACGAGTTTAAAAAGCGGTGCAGTTAGCTTACTCGAGGAGGGAGGGGAAGAGGAGGCGACGCGCTGCGAGGCGGCGGAAGAGCGCGTCGGCGAGCGGGGCCGGGAGGCGCTCCAGGAGCGGCGCTGCCGGCGCCAGGCCTCCACAGTGGCGGGGCCGCGCGCTGCCGCGTCGATGCAGCGGTCCACAAGCCGGGCCCCGCCGCCGGTGGCGGAGCCGGAGGCGGCAGCCGCCATGGACGTTGTTGGAACGGGAGATTGAGTCGTGACCGGAGGATTGGGAGGAAGGAGGAAATGAGGTCCCAGGAAATGATGGGATGCGATGCGATCATAGTTTTCTTTTACGTGTGGTAGTGGCGTAGTGCTTAAAGTGAAATCCATCAGGGTCCTTTGAACTTGTTTCACATTCTTAAATAAGTCTATGTACTTTAAAATCTGATTTTCAGATCCTTAAACTTGTTAAATGTATCACCAGAGGTCCCAATCGGTTTTTGGAACCCTAGTTTTGCACACGTGGCTACCGCCCTGTCTGCTCAATGCAACTAAGAGATTGTTAGCGGCAGGTGGGCCTGCTGTGAAGGGGAGGTGCTGGGTAGGAAAGTTTTGTTTGTGAATTTGCATCCGCAGGCAACAACAGAACTTTGCAACTTACAGTTTCATTTGATCTCACGCGGACATAATGCTAGAAGAAACACAACAAAAATAGTAAATTTTGATTCGCATTTCTAATATAACATCCGATAACTCACAAGGGCAAGATGATGAACACTTATGTTTAGATACTAATAAGGAGCATTAAATATAGATTAATTATAAAACCAATTACATAGATGGAGGTTAATTTGCGAGACTAATTTTTTAAGCCTAATTAATCCGTTATTAGCACATGTTAATGCAGCATCCACGTTGTCAAATCATGGATTAATTAGACTTAAAATATTCGTCTCGTAAATTAGTCACAAGTTGTGCAATTAGTTTTGTAATTAGTCTATATTTAATACTTCATACATGTGTCCAACCATTCGATGTGACAGAAATTTTAGGATATCATGTAGAAACCAAACAGGCCCTTGCTCCATCAGTCCATCTCTCAAAGTCCTCGCCAACCTAACCAAAATACGACACACCGGTACTCTTCGTCTTGGGAGGAAGAGGATAAGCACTCGCGCATAATTTTACTAGGGTCTCTTCACTCCATCCTCGGCAACCTAACCAAGGCCCCGTTCGCTTCGCTGAAAAAACAAGTCAAAACACTATTCCGGCTGATTTGGTGTGAGAGAAAAATACTATTCCGGCTGAAAAAACAAGCTGAAAAAGACAGATTATAAGAGAAGGAAACATGGCCCAAATTACGGTGCAGCTAAACAAACTCACCAAACTCCAATCCGCTACTAGCACAGTGCCATAGTCGATCACTTGGCGACTTCAGTTGATCAGTTCAGAGGAGCTTGTAGCAACTTGGCCGGCGTTCCGTGCTGGACGTACACGAACCTGAGGCTCTTACCAGCGCGCAACGCCGGCAGCCACTTGGGCGGCACGTAGCCGTACCGCGCCTTGTCCAGGCCCCAGAGCCGGCCATGGAGCTCCGAGACGCCGAGGTGGAGCTCCCGGACGATCTTCCTCGACCTGTTGGTCACCGCCACCGAGTAGCGGTAGTATGTCGTGCGGCGACGACGATGTATGGTTCGCGGCGGCCTCCGGGGGCGGCAGCTGGTACTCTTCGAACCCGGTGCCGCAGACGCCGGCGAGGCGGGTGAGGACGCCGAGCAGTGGCGCGCTGTTGTAGGTGGCGGCCTCCGTCTGCTCGTAGTTGTTCCGTTCGTCGGCGAAGTCGTCGTACTCATCGGGCCCGCCGACGATGGCGCCCCAGGGCGTTGGGGTTGCCGGCTGCCGCGGGTACCGAGCGGTCGGTGAGTACCCCTCTGGCGGTGACGAAGGACGAGTCCGCCCCGATGGACATGATGGAGGCGCCGCGGTGGTGCACTGCCGTGGGAAGCTACCGCCATAGCCGACCATGTAGCTGGTGCCCGCTGGGTTGTCGCCAGGATGTAGTTCACGGGACCTGACGAAGGCGAGGATCTCGAAGGCAGCATGGCGCGCCGCGGGCACCGCGCGCGCGCCGAGAGCCGGCAAAGATGGTGGCATAGTCCACGTACACCGTCAGCAGGAACGACGTGCTGGTGACGAACTGGAGGTTGTTCCAGCGCTGGTGGTACATGACACCGCCGGGTCCGTCGGCGCCCTTGCCGACGTAGGAGCACACGAAGAACTAGGCATTCTGCCGGTACCACTGCAGCGATGTGGTGTGCGTGCCGGCACGGCCCTGGTGGAGGAACTTGGTTGCCAGCACCTGCATGCCGGGGTACTTGACGTCCCAGCCGAACTGGTTGATGAACCAGCCCATGCCACCGAGAGCGCTGTCGTTGCGGGCCAGGTACCCAAGGTAGCATTGTTGGTCTATTCTAATCACATAGTCATAGATCTAGCCGGGTACATCTGGTAAATGGATAACATATCCTAATACATAAACTAGACAGAAATTAGAAAGAGTAGTAGTGCTAGGTTAACGACCATCGTAGGGCTTTGATCCAGCGGCGTTGGCCATGGTCATTGTGTCGGTGTCTGCACGAGAGCAGCGACGGTCGGTGAAGACGGTGATGGTGATGAGTAGTGGCGACCGATGGTGAAGACCGATGGCGGCGTAGTGCAGTGGTGGAGGTGCTTCCCGTCACTAGCTGCGCCCCTCACTAGATCGGGTTAGGGTTTTGTCGATGGGGAGCTCGGCTCAGGCGAACCTCATACTCAGAGCCGCCGGTCCCCACCTCTATTTATTGCACAATATGACAGGGGCCCTCTAGCCATAGTGGGCTGGGCGCCCCCGATCAGGACGTGGATCAAAGCCTTAACTGTGCAGTTGGGCCCAGTTTGGGATTATAGATCAATCTAACAATCTCCCCCTGAATCTCCTACTATCTTTTAATTTCATATCATTTACTTTTGTTTATTCCATCACAGATTTGCGCATAGAGCATGTTTTATCGTCACGGTCAATTGTCGATAGATTTAACAGCTACAACACACCACTCTGTTCTAAAATAGATACTTAACTTTGTGCCTTCTTTTATCCAGGAATTATAGGCTTTCCCTTAAACCCATGGCAGCTACATGTTCTCTGAACAAGTTGGGTGGTAAGCATTTTATAAGCGAATCCACGAGCATCTTTTTGGTACTTATATGCTCAAGACTTATGACATGATCCCGAATTTTATCTTTCACAACATAATACTTTATGTCAATGTGTTTGGCAGCACCACTTGACTTATTGTTTGAGCATACTATACTATCGGATTATTATCGCAATATAACTTAAGTGGTCTATAGATGTCGTCAACCACCTTCAACACCGGGTATGAACTTCTTTAGCCAGTTCACCTGCCCCGTTGCCTCATAACACGCTACAAACTCGGCATACATTATGGACGATGTAGTGACGGTTTGCTTTGAACTTTTCCATGAAATAGCTTCCCCTGCGAGAGTGAATACATATCCAAACGTGGATTTTCTATCATCTTCCGCATAATCAGAATCTGAATATCCCACCATATGGAGTGATTATAATCTTCTATACATCTTCATGAGGCTTTTTGTTCCTTGCAAATAACGCAAGATTTTCTTTACCAATTTCTAGTGTTCTGTTCCAGGATTGCTCTGAAATCTGCCAAGTAACCCGGTAACAAATGCCAAGTCAGGGCACGTACATACTTGAGCATATTGTAAGCTTTCGACAGCTGAAGCATGTGAATCCGTTTTCATTTGATCGATCTCATACTGATTCCTGGGGCATTGAAAATCCCCATATCTATCGCCCTTGACTATAGGAGCAGGTGAGGTACTACATTTGTGCATACTGAATTTCTTCAAGATCTTTTCTATGTATGCCTTTTGTGACAGTCCTAATACCTCTTTACTTCTATCTCGGTGAGTCTCGATCCCTAGAATGAACGAAGCTTCACCAAGATCTTTCATATCAAATTTTGAGGATAAAAACTTCTTTGTCTCCAGCAGTAGACTAACATCACTACTAGCAAGTAAGATATCATTCACATACAGGACAAGGAAGATAAACTTCCCATTCTTAAACTTTGTATAGACACAATTGTCCTCTACATTATCTTTAAACCCAAAATTCCTTATTGTCTGATTAAACTTCAAGTACCACTGTCTTGAAGCTTGTTTTAATCCATAAATGGATTTCTTTAGTCAGCATCCCATTCGTTCTTTTTCTTCCATGATAAAACCTTTTGGTTGTGCCATATAAACATTTCCTCCAAGTCTCCGTTGAGAAATGTCGTCTTTACATCCATCTGATGTAATTCTAAATCGTAATGTGCCACTAATGCCATTATAATTCTGAAGGAATCCTTACATGAGACTAGAGAAAAGGTCTCATTGTAATCAATCCCTTCTCTTTGCGTAAAGCCTTTTGCCACAAGTGATGCTTTATACCTCTCTATATTCCCTTGAGAGTCAAGTTTTATTTTGTAGACCCATTTACAACCTACTGTTTTGGCTCATTTAGGAATTATTTCCAAGTCCCAAACTTTATTGGCATTCATAGATTTTATTTCATCTTCCATGGCCTCAAGCCACTTTGATGAATGATCACTTCTCATGGCTTCTTCAAATGAGGTGGGATCATCCTCCATTTGAAATTCCTCAGTGTTATATACTTCATAGTCAGCAGGAATAGTTGATTTTCTAACTCTTTGAGACCTTTTAGGGGCCTCCACATTTGGCACATCTTCTGTTTGAGGTTGTTGTTGCTCCCCCTCATGTGTGGCAATAGGTTTTACAGGATCCTGAAGAATAGGTTCCTCATCGTCATTCATTGTTGCCACAGGTAGAATAACAACAGGTGCTGGCACCATAGTATCTTGCACTGTCGGTGCAGCGACAGCAGGTAGTGAGAAAAATGGCTCATGAATTATCGGAGTGGGCGCATACACCCGCTTCTCTTCAAGGTCAATTTCTCAAGCTACCATACTCTCCCTCATCATTTCATCCTCTAGAAAGACAGCGTGTCTCGTTTCCACAAACTTTGTATGTCTGTCTGGACAGTAGAAACGAAAAACTTTTGAATTTTCTGGGTAGCCAATGAAATGACAACTTACTATTTTAGGATCTAGCTTCCTAATGTTTGGGTTAAATACTTTAGCCTTAGTAGGACTCCCCCACACACGTAAGTGGTTTAGTGAGGGTACTCTTTCTGTCCATAACTCATACGGTGTTTTGGGCACCGACTTACTTGGTACTCTATTGAGAATATGAATGGCGGTTTTTAACGCCTCCATCCACAGGCTCAATGGTAAGGTGGAGTAACTTATCATACTGCGCACCATATCCATCAGGGTACGATTGCGTCTTTCAGCTACTCTATTCTGCTGAGGTTCGTCCGGTATAGAATACTGGACTACTATGCCATTCTCTTGTAAGAACCTTGTAAAAGATCCAGAAACTTAGCCATATGGGGTATGCCGAACGTAGTACTCCCTCTACGGTCAGACCTGACTATCTTAATCTTTAAATTGTGTTGGTTTTCAACTTTTGCCTTAAATATCTTAAATTTATCCAATGCTTCTGTTCTTTCTTTGATTGGATAAATGTAGTCATAATGGGAGTAATCATCTGTGAATGTTATGAACGAATCATAACCATCCACACTCTTTACAGAAAATGGACCACAAATGTCTATGTGAATAATCTGTAAAATTTCTGCGCTTCGTTTGACATCTTTCTTAATTTTCTTTACATACTTTTCTTTTATGCATTCTCTGCATTGTTCTAAATCTGAGAACTCTAATGTAGGAAGAATATCATTCTTAACTAGTCTTTCTATTCTCCCCCTCGAAATATGGCCTAAACGATAGTACCATAATTTCGACAACGCATCGTGAGCTCTCTTTCGTTTTCTGTTTACATCCGCAGGCGATGATACATTCTCATTGTCGCACGCAATGTTCCCATCATCGCATACAACATTCACATCATCACGTAGTGATAACAAATAAAGCTCATTTTGTAAGATAGCAAGACCAACACATGCATTATTAAATGTTATCTTATATTTGCCATTTCTAAAATGGCAATTATATCCATCATTGTCGAAGCATGAAACACTAATCAAGTTTCTCTGTAGGGAGGGAACATAAAGTACATCTCTAAGTAAAAATATGAAACCATCGGCAAGCTCTAGAGAAAGATCGCCAACGGCTTCAACATCGGCTCGGACTAAATTAGCAACTTTAACGTGTCTTTCTCTTCTTTGCGTAGTCCTCGTCGAACGGAATCCTTGTAAAGAATTAGCAACATGAACAGTTGCGCCTGAGTTAATCCACCAAGTAGATTTCGAATACTGTACATACAGGGATTCATTTATGAACGTAATAATGTTCTCACCTTTCTTTGCCATGATCATTTTTAAGTAATCGAGACAATCTTTCTTATAATGTCCCGTCTTCTTGCAATAGAGACACTGATCTTTTTCTACTGTGAACTTGTTCTGCTGAGGCTGATGTAGCATGGGACCCTTTCCCTTTGACTTTGAGGAGGAGTTAGCATTATTATTCTTTTTTTTGTTGTCTTTCACATAATTGATAGTGCCACCATTGATAGCTTTTATTCTCTCCTCCTCTTGCACACACATAGCCATGAGCCTCTCTAAGTCTCATTTCTCGGGCTGTATGTTGTAGTTGACAACAAAAGTGTCAAAATCCTTTGGCAAGGAAGCAAAAATTATCTAGATAAGGAACTCTTCCTTGAGAGCCAGATCCATTGGTTTTAGCTTAGATGCCAAATTGCTCATCCTTAGTATGTGCTCTCTTATGCCACCATTTCCAGAGTACCTCTCTGTCACCAACTGTTTTATCAGCTAGGTAGCATATGTCTTTGAAGAGCCAGTGAACTGACTCTTTATTCTATCGAGGTATTCGGTGACCGTATCACACTCTAGGATTGAGCCCACAATTGCAGGCTCAATCGTGTTCTTTATCACAGCCATATATTTTTTGTTGGCAGTGACCTACTTCCTATGCTCAAGGTCATAGGACATCTTTTGGGATGCAAAATCCCTCTCTCTAGTTGCTCGA